ATTCTTTGACAAATAATTTCGGAAATGCAAGACATACATTAAATTTATCTGAAAAACAACAATAACCCTATATAATTAACAACAATTTATTTTTTAGATATAATATAAGAGTCGGTTATTTTTATTTTATTTGTCATGATTCTCTAATAAGTGGTTGCCCTGGCCTTCCCAGTTTCCCTTAATAAGGAATTTACATGTTTTTTTTTCCATATTAGACTAATTGGTAAATCAGATATTTCCCGTTCATGTGATGATATTAAAAATTTAACTATCTACGAGGCGGGAAAAAATTTTCAAAATTATAATGGGTAGGACTGGGCTTGGAACCTCAAAATTAATATTAGCTTGCACCTGACTTGGAAAATCTTTTACAAATTATTAAGGGTTGAGCTGGGCTTGATAAAATTTTTTAAAATGATAAGATCTTGGATGCTTCCTAATATTGTAAGCTTGAACCTGGCATGACATCTATCGTAAAAAATGAATAAAAATCTCATTCCCAGTCATTTTTGACAGGCTTTCTACTAGTAGTTATTTATTTAATAAAGATTAATAATCATATTTTAGTATATACTTTTTATATTTTATATTTAGGTTCTTAAGTTCACAATCCAAAATTTCTCAATTGTGACAATATACAAAAGAATTACAAATAAAATTCATTATTGTTTTTAAAACATAATAGATTTAATAGGACTATTCCTGTATAGATTCCCTAGTCCCTAGAATAAACATCTTGGATATCAAAGAGCTATCCAAAATTAATAATTATTCAGAAATATTTAATGAACACATTTTTATTCATATAATCTTATCTATAGGCCAAATTCGGTAGCCGTGTTTTAACCTTGGGAATTTGGTTCTCTTATTCGTAAAATCATTGAGAAATCCAGGGAAGGTTATTACTTTAGGCAAAGTCTTTCCAGTGCCATTCATAAATCGAATCGGTTTTATTGGAAGCTTCTTTCCAAAGGAGTTAACCAAACATTTTTTTAAAATCCTTTTTACATATTATATTTTTTATATATAATATTTCTTTTTACATATACTTCATGTTATTATATTTTAATATATGATGGAATAAATATTTATAAAAATTATGATCATTACCATCACATGATATGTACCGATGACATGACGTGCTACTAGGTGATGTTTTAAATTCCCATATGATTTATAATATGGTCAATATACTCAACATAATATCCATATCAAATTTGCCGCTGCAACTAAAATATATTTTTTTTAATATTTGTTGCTGAACACCATTTAATTCAATTCACATATCAAAGCAATGGTATCCAACAACCAAGCATAATTTTTTCTTTTTGCAATTATATTATTTTCTATAAACTAGATTCAACTATTCATACTACCAAAATATACCATTCAACAAAAGCCAACTAAAAAAATAAACCAAGTTAAAAATTTTAATTTATCTAACAAATATTTTATACTAGTAGATAGCCTGTCAAAAATGACAAGGAATGAGAATTTTATTCGTCCTTTTACGATAGATGTTACATTTTATTTAAATATCATATCCAATTTTTTTTATTTTTACCTCCCCCCCCCTCTCCCATTTAGGTTAAGTAAACCTATGTCATTGAGTTCAACACATGACATTGGAACTAAGAGTGAAAACTATTTTTTTACTTAAAATATATATTTAAATTAGCTTATACCCCATATCATTGTAAAAATATTACTGATTACATAAGACTAACATTTAACACTAAAAAATCCCAAGCTAGGTCCAAGCCTACAATATTTGAGAAAAATTTTCAAGCATCCAAGACCTTAATAATTTAAAATAATCCATAATAATTTTGAAAATTATTTCCTAGCCCAGAGATATTAAATTTATAATTAATGAAAGGGAAATCACCTATTTACCAATTAGTCTACGGGTTGACTCATAGTATACATACATTAAATTTTGAAAAAATTCCAAGCATCCAAGACTTTAATATTTTTTTAAAATAATTCTCAAGCCCAGCACAATATAATAATTTTATGTATTTTCTAAGCCCAATCCAACCCATAATAATATTGAAAATTAGTCTATGGCTTAACTTCAAGTATATATACAAAAAATTTGGAAAAAATTTCCAAGTACATATGACCTTAATATTTTTTTTAAAAAAAATTCTCAAGCCCAGCCCAATCCATCATAATTTTGAGGAATATTTTCCAAGCCCAGTCCAACCCAACAATTTTGAATTTATCCCAAGCCCGGAGATATTAAATTTCTAATTAATGAAGGGGAAATCTCCGCTTTACAAATTAGTTTACGGCTTAACTCATAATTTACATACAAAAATAACAAATGAATTCGTAATAAGGGACTGGGAAAGCCTGGGCAAATCCGTTATTAGAGAATCAGGGCAAAATCAGGTCTACCCTAATATTATTATAAGAAATAACAAATCTTACCACGTTTTATTTTGGATAACTCCATAAATTTAGTTATGGAGAAAAATTGGATTGAAATTGTGTTTACTGCAACAATTCTAACAATTTATTTTTTATAATGCTTAATGATTAATGTTTGCATCTTCATTTATTATCCATGAAATAAAAATAAATGATTCTTATACTTTTTTGTACTATGATCAAGGTTATTATTATATTTTAATTTTATAAATTAAAATGCTTTTTTTTTCAATGATATTTCAATAGGTGGGTGTTTTTTTATGCATGATCGCCAATCTATAGTTATATATATCATTGTTTAAAAAAAAAATCTTATAATTTAAATTACAATTGATATATTTAAAAATAAAATAAATAAGAAAATTAATTTTGAATATTGTAATATAATTGATATAATGAAAATATTATGTATCATATTACTAATTAGTAGATTTTAAAGGGGGGGGGGTACATCCTTGTTGCTAAATCTGCCTACAACACATTGACAAAAATGAAAATAGCCACCCTTAAAAAAATGTTATTTAAAATTCCGCTTTACAATGTTGCAAATGATATTTATGATATATAGCTTTATCATTAAAATATTAGAGTATAATAGGTTATTAATATATTTTGATTTTATAAATTAATAAAATGCTTTAAAAAAATAAATAAATAAATCTTGAAATATTTATTAAAGTATAAAAGGTTGTTATTATATTTTAATTTTATAAATTAGAAAATGCTTTTAAAAAAAAAATCTTGAAATTTAAAAATAAAATAAATTAGAAAATTTATTTTGAATATTGTAATATAATTGATATAATAAAAATATTATGTATCATATTTTACATTTGGTGAATAATTATTTTTACTGATAACAGCTTCTTGAGTAATAATTGTTTTGACTGTTGGTATTTAATTGTGTAAATGTATTTTTTTGAATGGTTTTATAAAATATTAATGATACATAATATGAATATTTAATAAGATATATTTAATGTATTATTTTGACATCCAATACTTGCATAGGAAATAAAAGCTTTAATAGAAAGGTATATAATGTTAAAGGATGATAATAAATAATATGTATATAAAAACTGTCTTAGTTTGATAAACTGCATTTGCACTAAAATGAAAATGATTTGTAAAATTTTGTAAAGATAAATTAAAATAATATTTAGGTATTACTTTGGCATTCTACAGTTGCATAGTTAACTAAAGTTATAGGCTCATCTCTTTGTATAGATATTGAAAAAAAATAAAATAAATAAATTGACAAATAAAAAAAATAAAATAAATACGTACCGATGACATGACGTTGCGATGACATGATGTCAAGATGGCATAGTGAGGACATCGGTAAATTATAATATAGATATAAATATTGTAACAATTTAAGATACTTAAGAACATGCTACTCTCAAATATTCTATTAGCAGAATAAGCAAAATGCATTGCTACCATCATTCAAGAGGAATGCAATGCTATATATGGATAACTTTAAAAGATATCTAGTTCCAACTAGAGAACATTCTGAGAAGGTATTTTTTTGTGTTTGGACCGATGGGTCCCCCAGTCTGAATGGGAATAATACAGTCCGTGATCGGGGGTCCGGGATGGTCAATGACTGGATCCAGAAGGCCGGGTTTTATCGATTTAGTCATGGAATCACTTGGACAACGTAATTTTCAAAGTTTATTTGAATAAGTGAAATTACAACAAAAAAAGAAATTCAATTTAAAACGCACGAAAAATAATTAATGATTAATGGTGTTTTGTTTTCCACCTTTATAATTTTTAAAACAAAAGGGGAAAAAAAAGTTGTTATTTAATCGCGATATAATCATTCATGAAACTGGTAAGAACCAGTTTTAAATGCAATATAAAAATAAGGTATAATATATTAATTTCATAACAAAATAAAGGAAGATGGGAAAACAAAAGAAACAAGTAGAAACAAAAATAAAAGAAATAAGGGGGGGGGGATAGAACATAACAGTATTAAATTTAGATATTATATATTTCTAGATTGCACAAGAATATTTTGAGAAACAAGGATTTCCAAACTGCCTTGGCTCATTAGATGGTAAGCACATAAAAATAAAAAGTCTTGTAAAATCTGGAACACTTTTTTACAATTATAGATCTCTAAAATCAATTGCTTGGTTTAGCTGATAGCAATTGTAAAGTAAGGGTAGCACGAAATAGTTGTTTATATCACAGTAAATTTTTAATATAAAAAATAATTTTTAATTATTTTAGAGTTAGAAAATCAAACATTTTTTATTCTTCCTCATAAATCTATGTCAATTAATATCATTGTTCTCATGTAATTATATGGAAAATATCAGTCCACAAGAAAAACATTTTATTCGGGCAGGACTCGGGCCGGGTACGGGTCGGGCCTAACTTTGCAGATCTCTAATTCGAATGCAATTTTCTAAAAAATTGCCATATCCATCCTGAATAGGGTAGTATTATTGTTGGTTTAATAACATTAGCCGTTTATCGTTTGTACTAAACTGTAGTTAATCTAAATTTGGATAAAAGTTTAGACTATTTGTCGTAACAAAATTAGTCATATGAATTTGTATAGCAATGATTGGAACTTTGACTCAAGTGAAATTACTAAAGAGTTTATCAATGCCTCTTTAGTATTAGATGTTGGAGAACTTTTGCACGATTCAAACTTTAGTAATTTGTATTTTATAGACATGAAAAAAAGAATACTTAGGTTTGTATGAGGCTATGTCAGCCATTGAAATTATGGAACCAAAAATGGATTCAGGACTAATTTATACTAACATCGATAGGAAGTTATACGATTTTTCTACAGCATATGAGGATCAAATCATAAAACTAGATAATTTACCACTTGAGGAGCTCCTTATAATATTTGATAACCTGATATCTTGTCTAGTTGCATGGTTAGAGGGACATAGCTTAGCTCAAACCATATTTATATGCTTATATACTCATAAACCAGAATGTATCAAAGACCGGTTAAAATATTAACTAAATAAAACTATAATATCTTTTAGTTTATTAAAATTAGTCATTTTGACATTTTTAAAGACTTGTGGATTAATCAAAGAATTAATTCACAAAGCTTCTGTTTATGAAGAAGAAGATTTTCAAACATCAACATATGGTTTTGATTTGGCAGATGGAATAGACTCACAAATATTGCTTGACATGTTGGTAGGGGTAATATAATATTTATTATCACAATAAAATAATATACTTAATATATTTAGCTTGAAGATAATTATAAAGAACCTTTACATATTGGTTATACAAATGCAGAGAAAGGTTTGCTCTTCTCAAAAATTAAGTTTATAAGACTGTTTCTTGACATAATCACATCCTTTAATAAGTAAACATAAACAATTATCATTCACTTAAAATTTAAATATTTATAAAGTACTAAATTAAAATTTTTTTATCAAGATAGATTTACATTTATTGGTTATAATAATGGCTGCTGGACTCCCTCTCCTAAATAGTCAATGTCTGATACTATACACTAGTGATCTGTATTGGGTCTAATTTTTCAAGTCTAGCCTGGCTCAAATTTTTTTTAAAATAAAAGGTTTGCCATCCCAGCCCGAATAGGAATTATTTTTAAAAAATATTTACCAGCCCAGCTATAATTTATTCAAATATAGAATTAATTATTATAATTACTCAAAATAAAAGATATATGTTATATTGTGTCTAGTTTCTATAAATAAAATCAAATAGTTTTATTTTAAATATAAAATTCAACATAAAATGGATGAATATAGATATATTTAAAAAAATTTCTAAAGCCCAACAAATAAATATTAGGTCCAATGCAATCCGAACTCAATTTTTTTAAAAAATAGGTTAGCCTGACCAGATGCACCCTGTTCAGGCAGGGTATGGGCCAGGCCTACTTTCTCAGATCTCTACTATACACCAACCCTGTGACTCATCTTCATCTCTTTAATAAAATTCAAACTGATCACTTATTTATTGACCTCCCCATAACCTAATTAAGTATGTATGATAGTGTTTTTCAGGCATTATAACCCTATAAAAATTCATTTAACAAATAAACAAATTGAAGCTTTTAAATAAATTTTAACCAATAATAATTGTAAAATTAATTTTTTAATGTAATATGACTAGTAAATAATTAAAGTTAACACTATTTATTACTAAACCTTAGATACTTATAAAAAATATGTATAATTGCATCATACTTTTTAAAACTATAATATTATAACTTTTACATATTAACTATCATCTCTAAATTCACTCATTCTTTTTTTCTTTCTAACTATTTTTTTTTCTTTCTAACTATTTTTTTTTCTTTTTAACTATTTTTTTTCTTTCTGAAAATATTTAAATTTAAATTAATTTTTATTTTAAAAAATAAAGCAAAATGCAGATTAAGAAAAAAGAATATCCTTTATTCTCTAAATATAAGGTTTAAAACAACTTTCCAAAATGAGATACATGACTATGACTTGGAAAATTTTGTGCCTTTTATATTCCCATTCCAGACAAAAGGACCATTTTCAACTTGCAGTTGAAAGTTGGACTAGGAAGAAGTGCTGGTTATTTATAATCATATAATCTGGACTATGCAAGAGTCTTGGTTCCAGATAGTATTTCCGGTTTGGGTTCCTAAAATTTTGTAAAATGGCGGTCTAGTTTTTAAGTTTGACCAAGATATGAGAGTTCAAAGGTCTGAATCTAGTCCCAAACTTTGTTAAAGTGAAAACATTGGATAAAATGAATCACACATTCATTTTAAATTATAGAATATCAATTTTTAGAACCGGAAATGGTTTCTAGAACTTTAAAAAATGGATTCTAGTTGCTAATTTATACTTATAAAATTATTTCTCAAAAATACTGAACTATTCTAGTGTAATTTTAAAATATTGGAGAAATAAATAAGTATCCCTAAATAATAACTATCCTCTCCCTCCCCCCTCCCTGCCCCTTACAAATTTACTGATACATTTGCTTCAGACCCTTTGTAGGAGCCCACTGGCTTAAAAGTGCATAATAAAATCATCGTAATTTTTACAATTAAACATTTTCGGTATATTTCAAGATTTATCACGAACGTAGAGACATCTCTACGATTCCACTTTGCCCAACACAAAAACTTGGAAAATTTGAACCAAAATTGTTTTTATTTTTTACGCCACATAAACTGCTTGCTGAAATCACTCGAAGATACTTATTTTTCTGGTGCATTTTATCGAAATACCTCGTCTCGAATGTCTCCCACGAAAGCATCGAAAAATGATAACGAATTATTGTATTACGGGTTTGAACCCCTGGCCAATTCGCGCATCTTGCCACCCTCTTTTCCTAGAGAAGTTAAATTGATCCCTCCCTGTGAGGCTTACAGGTACTTGTACAGTAGAATCGTCGTATACGTTCGTTGGATGGTGGGAAAAATTTTGGGTATCTACTATAACTATGATCATGATGAAAGATTAAAATCTAAGTCCCCAGAAACTAATTGTGATGATCGCGAATTCGCCGATGACCTGAACAACAATAATTTCGCGACGATTTCTCCCGATAATTCGAAGGCCCATATGTCGAGTAATTGCGGAAATAGTCATTTTATTTGGTGCGAACTACGAATGCTTGACCAATTTGACAGGCACCCAATAGATTTGCTATATGAGCTCGAAGATAACCCAATATTCCGAGATGACTTCTACGAGGCTAGCATGGATTATTTCGGGACGCCTTCTCTTTTAGCTAGGTAAATATTTTATTATTCGCATATAAATCAATTTTGGGTTATGACCAATATTTAAAATAAATGAAGGGTGTCTTAGATTTAATCCTCCAGGCAATACTATTCATTTTTATTTCTTACGTTTCCTTCTAAACATTACTAAAATAAAGAATGAGGGTTACTATACTATATCGCAGTTCTGAATGTTTCCCTATTCATTCATTATTGGACTCCCCCCCCCCCCTCACATTTCTCGATTAAATTTTGAGTTTTAAAATTTACAAATATATAGTCCCTCTTACCTCGTACCAACAGTTAACGCGATTTCACGCATTAAAATATGTGTAAAATTATTATAATTATATCATATTTTGTACTTCGCCGTGAATTCGCGTTAACTGCGATTTTAGGGTTATAATATATTATATCTTTTTTTCAAGAGACTTTAAAACTAGAAACTTGGAACATACTAGAATTGGGAAGTGTCAGATTTTAGAAAAACTATAATACGATTTTTTAATAATATTTCAGAATTTATCTCCTGTTCCTTAAAAATTATGACTATCTGAATGGAACAAGAACAAAACCTTTTTTTAAAAAAAGTTTTTAAGGAATTAAAACAATGAACGGCCTAAATAGAATGGTATCAAATAGTGTCCTTGTCTCAATTCTAAGTCCCTGGGTATAACCTAGCATTTTTAATCATGGTTATCTGAATGTCCCCTCTCGAAAAGACCTAAGAAGCCTGAAAAAACATTATGATCGAGTTATATTGTTACAATAATAATAATAATATTAATATTTTGATTCACCATTTTATGGTATTATTAAATTTTTTTCTTTATACCTCATCCGTCTCGCCGCCTAACCCCAAAAGATCGTTATTTCAGCTCATTTACTACTACGCCCTGAGATGCAAAAATAACTTTCAGGATTGGTTGGGCCCTAGTCTAGTAACCTTCGATTCCTATTCGCTCTCTCACGATCATATGACGAGGTATAAAGATTATGAATATAAAACGATAGAAATATTAGCTAATCACGAGGAAAATCTGTATTACTCCTTGATCAAGCATAGGGGGTATCATATAGTGAGGAGGAGAGAAAAAATTTCACCTAATATAATAAGGATGCTGACCACTATATCGGTAATTTTTTTAAAATTTGAATTGAAAAAGATATGAGGTGAATTCCATATCAAATCAACAGATTTTCAACCACACCCCCTCATATTTTTTTAAAACATTTGGTAATACATATTATAACTAAGAAAAAAATAAAATTTTAATTCCTTACACTACTTACTCGCTAAGATATGCGCTTTTAAAGAGCGGAAAAATGATACATTTTTGACAAAACGCACTTCATTCATTTTCAAATATCTCAAGAATAAATTAAGTTAGAGCAATAATTTATTATTACATAGCTTAATAATGAATTTTTATAAATAAATGTGATAAAACCCGATAATTATCAAAAACCGGAAGTACAAACATATATTTACTAATGTCCATAAATATATAATTTATCCCTCTGATATTATTTTCTTGAATAGTTATATAAATTCATTGTTGTCAATATATGATCATATGAACGTTGCAAGCTAAGTCGAGCTACTAACCGTTTAGTAACGCTCCTGAAACTGTTGCAGGGACTTTTACCATTCCGGTTGCAAATGAGCCACTCTTCCTTTATCCAAAAATGTTCATGTTTGTAGAGGTCAATGAAGTTTTTTAATTTTTGTATTGGGTAACTGCCCCTAATGAACTTTGACTACTCTATCCTTTCTTTAAAGAATTAGATTAATTTTATTTGAAATAAATAAAATGCCACATGCGTTGTGTTTTAAACAATCTGATTACAACATCAATAAAATTTACTTTTTTAAATCGTCTCAACGGTAATAAATCATAAATAACGAATGGTGGCCTGATTATTGGTTCAATGGAATCCTTGTGCATGGTCCTGCACTACGAATGCATTTTCTGAAAGATACCAAGAATTCGCCAACATATAAATTGGATTTAGTTTTGAAATAAGGATTGTTGTGAAGCTATAAGGATGAGAAATTAAAATAATTATTTTTCGATTGTTGGATTTTATTAGCGTTTCAAGAAATGTTATATAATCTATTGAATTCGCATCAAATAATAGTCGCTCTTTTCTAAAATAAAAGATTAAAAATATTTTAAGTAATTTCAAGAAAAAATTAAATCAAAGTTGTTAAATAAACACATTTTTAACCCCCCCCCCCAACCTTAAATAATTTTTTATATAAAAAAAAGTAAAGGGTCTTTCATTTAAAGATAATTTTTAAATAAAAATTACTCATAACCATTAAATTAAGATGATATTTATGGTAAATTTTGATCAATTTTAGCCATATAAAGAGTCATAACATCTAGGCCCACCTTGAGCTCAGTGTAGGATTTCTACAGAAATTTTTTTAAAAAAATATACCTTTTTTTTCTATGGCCATTTTTGGATTAGATTTCCGGTTTCGGCATTAATTAGATTTCTATTACAATTATTAAGCTATATAATAAAATTTAAATTATTGCTCTAACTTATATTCCTTGAGATATTTGGAAATGAATGAAATATATTTTGTCAAAATGTACCATTTTCCCGCTCTTTAAATGCCCATGTCTTAGCGAGTAAGCGGTTGTAAGGAAGTAAAATTCATTTTTTCTCTCTTAGTTATAGTATACATACCACCATATACAAAATTTAAAAAAAAATTCTGAGATGATTGGGTTGAAGCATTGATTAATTTGATATGGAAATCATCATAAATATCGGGTTGAAAAAAACCTAATCCTCCTGGTAAAGAAATAAACAAAAATTATAAACGTGTTTTTTATCTGTTTTTTTGTTTAGATTTATTAATACTTACAATCCTTTTTGAAAAATTTTTTTTTTAGTCTATCAATATTTTATTGAAATTTTTTATTATCCCAATCAATCTATAATTCGCTTATTTTGTTAAATTATTCATTTTTTTCATAGGAAAATTAATTTTATAAATTTAATTTTTCATTTTTTTTGGAAAATAACTCGAATTTACGGGGAAGAATATAAAAAGATGGTAAAATAAGAGAAGAAATCATTTTAATATCTAATGTCAACGCGATGGATGAATTTTGTGATGCGCTTAATTTTTTGGGAATTACATTTTTAAAAAATTTAAATTAATGTACAGATTGAGACCCACGGATCAAAATTGATTGATTGGACCCTCTATTCGGCTATGATAGAAGATTTGCTTCTGGGATTTCAGATGAAACTATACGCTGACCACGAATTGCCTTACGTTTATTGGTACTGCTTTAATATATAACAAATTATCGCCTAATAATTGGGGATTTTGGCATAAATTTAGAAAAGCCATTTTAGTTGTATTAATAAGCCTTAACAGAAAAGAATATCATTTAATTTAATATATTTAAGTTTGAACAAAAGGAATATATCTTTTTCAATGAATCGCAAATATTTTACATCCTTATATATATATATATTATCATAATAAAAATAAGTAATATTTTTTGTCTTATTTGTATTCAAACTCGTCTCCATACTACAATGCGATATTATATATTTAAAAGGTATCTCAGAAATCTGTACTCTCTCCAATGCCACATCCTTAGCCCTCCGGATAACGCCTTTATCCCGTCAGCTACCTCTAAAATTCGCGACCTTGTTCTGACCCCATGTCATGCTTTGAATAAACTTTGTCACGCTTATTACTTGTGCGCTATTGCTCTGCTTAACGACGGATTCATAGCTAGACCAGAATACGAATTTAACGACCAAGAAGTCTCTTGAACACTATTTCCATTTTTTAATTTTTTTTATTGAATATAAGGAAACACTAGTAATTTTTTGATATTTTCTTAAAGTAGAATTTTAAGGGCCAAGTGCGCTATTTTTGAATTTAAATCTGCTTAATAAATAAAGTATCATGCCAAGTTTAATTTATTTTAAAGAGTCTTTCTTTACATGGAATATAACAATAACAAAGATAAAAAGAAATTATTGAATAAAATGAGTGATAAATTAAGTATTGCACGTTAACTCTGTTTTTTCACGGTTCGACCCGTTCCGGTGAGTTTTTTTTAACAAAGTGACAGATATCAAGCCGGAATTTTCCATGCATGATTTTAATAGATAATACGTAATTCATTTTTGATATTTTGACAACCATAAATATTTTTTTTTTGATATTTTGATACACCACCAATGTAGATCCGTTTTGAGAAAAGATTTCGAAACTTAAATGTCTTAACCAATTTACACGTCAATCATCGGCTTGAAGACGATCTTCGATACGCCGCTTTCTCTAGCCAATCCTCCGACTTCGTTTCCACAAATACGCGCCAATTCGGACTCTACGAAGACGCCTCCCGCGCTTTCGACTCGGCTCGTCATTCATTCGACGAATTATTTCTGAAAAATCGTCTCGAATCCAGTACCTTTACACCATTACTATACATATAATTTGTTTTATAACTAGCTAATTCTTAATCTAGATTGCCCTTTTTTATATTTATATCCAGGATTACAATTTAATTTTATTTTACTTGTTTTGAACTTACTTTTTTTGGCGCATGAAGCGAAAATATTCCTTTCATTTCCAATTATAAAAAAAACGATTTTTTAAATAATACATGACTAACAATATTATATTATGTTAAAACCCACTCCAAATCAACTAGTAGGTTTAAAAAAGTACTATTAAAATTATTAATGAAGTGCTTGTTATGATTTATTCTTTTATAATAATTTGTTTTTTTTTAAATAATCTTATATTTATGTTTGTGCTAATCTCAAAAAACCCAAAGCAGGCAATGACCCCACAGAAATTTGCTACTCACCAGCGCTGACTCAAATAGAATCGGACAACTGCCGCCGAATCTGTCGCACAAATAGCTTGGCTTGCAAAGTGTTAAACTCTATGCTGAGACGAAATCTTGAAATAAAAAACCAAGAAAAGGCCCAAAATTTAGGGGATGCCAAAGAACTTTTGAGAAAATGCGGTAAAAAAGTTGAATTCAGGTTCGAATCTTTTTCGTGCAATAGAAATCATCGTAAACCGGATAACACAATTACAAATGGAGTTGTATCAAAAGAGGAAGGTATCCAATCGAGTATCAGGGAAATGGCGCTCAAAACAAATCTTTTAAATATTAATGACACTAAAAATAGCAAATACTCTCATAAAATCCCGCGAAATGATGAGAATAATTTAATCGAAAATAATATTATCATAAACCACTGCAAGACAAATGAATATTTGGGTACCCGTGTATTCGAATATTTTCCCGTTTTAAAGATTTATTCCACCTGATATATTATTTTAATAGCCAATTTATTGTATCCGTTTAATTTTTTTTTGTACGTTTTGAAATCGTTCCTCTTCCTCGACAAATTCTATATTATAATATATATTTAAATCAAATAATCTAGTTACGTGTTTGTTTGTTTAATATATTATATCAATTATAGGTCAAGCCCGCCCAGACCGGCCTCTGTAAATTTTTTATTTCTTTTAGGCCTTTAAATATATTTTCAACAAGTTCTCCTACCTAGCCCCAAAATCTTTTTGCCCAGCATGCGGGCCTAGCTATACCGACCTCTTATCAATATTTTTTCTTCTTAGTCTAAATTTTTTTTTTTGAAATGTCAAATTAATTGGGGTCTTAGTCATGATTTAAGAAATAAAACTTATTTTTTTAAAATTAAATAAAAGATGAATTGAGATTTAAGGTGAAAACCAGACCTGTTTAGACTACTTCAAAATCCTATTTTTTTCACAAAAAATGGTTGGCTACATTTATATTGAGATCGAAAACCAAATAATATCTAGTTATTATGTCGGCTAAATCTATTATCTTTTCTAGGAACTAATTGGCAGACAAAATTGGATCTCATCTTATTTCTAAATTCGGTTTAAATGATCGGGCCTAATATTTCAAGCCCGGCCCGACCGATTTCGAACGAATTTTTTTATTTATCCCGAAAAGCCCCACCCGAAATAATTACAAAAATCGAATTTATTTAAATATAGAAAAATTTAATTTGTTTTTTATTGTGAAAAAAATATATTTTGCAAATGAAAAATATTAGCATCTCGCAAGAATTATAAAATATATAAATTTATTTGACAAAATGCTTTTAAGAATTTAAGCCCGACCCAGCCCGAACCGAAATTATTTTAAAATAGATCCGGGAAAATCTCTAATATACACATTATGTTCTATAGCGCTTGTAATCGAAATTAGATCGATGATGTTTATGTATTTATCAAGAACCTTCAATGATAACCTTCCAACCTTCTGCGCCCCGTTGCATTTAGAGCAATTTTAAATAAATTTTAAGGATTTTTAACCGGGTCTTGCGAAACTATTTTTCTTAAAAAAATAACAAAATTTTTTAAAAATAATATAGGGAATAATTCTTAAAACTTAAAATATTCATTTTATTCTCTATTTTTATAATATTGTGCAATAAATTTATATATTCAGCGACAATAACTTTTTCTAATTTAATGATGTTTATTGATTTTATTCTTTTAAATACAAAAATAGGATATGTAAATGAAAATATTTCCCCGCCACCTATTTTTTTTGCTTAATTTCTAAAATTCATTTTTTCAGTTCTGATATTCAATCAGGGAAAAAAGGAGGATAATGAATATTTTTCGAACCATGGGCCAAACCTGTATTTTGTTTATGATTATACTGCCAGACCCAGATTAATTTGTAATTAAAAAAAAATCTGGTTTAAATTTTTGGCATATTTTTCTTTTACCAAAACGACTTTTTGTGGGTAACAGTTGAAAAAAAATTTATTTCTATAATATGAATATTGATAGACTAGAAAAGCAGAGATTGGTTTAAAATTGATATTGTAAAATTTTAGCATGATAAAAAATGTACAAATGTATCGTTTATTGAATGAGAGTAGTTTTATTAAAAAGCCCGATTTGCATCGAGATTTGGCAAATAGATGTCCAAGAATTTCTGCCAGCTATGACTTTAGGCCTACATAATGTTATTTTGATTATAATCTGAATTGGGCCGTTTTTAAAAATTGACCCAAATCAAGCTTTTTAACAACACTAGCTGAGAATTAAAGGTATGGAATGAACCGTAGGAAGTCGGTAGCTATTCCCGATTAGGACCACATTGTTTCTTCTGAAATCAACTGCGAGATTAGGGTTAAGGTAAAAAGGGAGGCCAGAAACGCGGGGTAGGGTTAATGTATGTCCAAAAATATCACTTATATAATAAAAGCCTTGTCACATTTTTTACTGATTATATTTTGTCATTTTGTGAAAAAAGCTTATGTAAAGCAAGAATGATGTAAAAAATATATTATATATTTTTTTGGCAAAATTTTTAATTTATTTCTTTTTACAAAAATACATGTATAAAAATTTAGTAGAAATGAGTCTTTATTGTGCATATAAAAACACTTGAAATCGAGCAGATAGCCCGTCAAGAATGATGGATGAATCAAAATTTTCTCCCTTATTTGTTGATAGGTGAATTATAAATCTTTCTGTTTTATAAGATGTGAAATCATAAATATTTCATGTCAATTAAGCATATATAGCAACTTCAATATTGATAAATAATTGAAACTTATAAATAAAGAAAGAAAATTTTTAAGGTGAAAATAATTTAACTATGCTCTGGCCCCAGCAAGAAAATTAAGAGCACTAAATCTACACTTAAGTGTATGTAGATTGTGCCCTAATTCTAATATTTACTCGATGTCCAGTATCAAGTAAACATAAATTTAGATTATGACAAAGATAAAAATTTTTTAACCAAGATCTAAATGGAGATTCTTGTGAAGATATCTAATAAGATTTTTGAAAATAAGATCATTCTTTAAATATTTTAAATAAATTCCACAAATAAAATTTTATTTAAATAATAATCAATTAGTGAGTCGAGTTTGCAAATATTTTTTTTCAGCTGATTCTTATTGTAAGAAAGTGAGAAAATAGTACAATTTTACGACTCATTCTAGGCCTGGATTGCGTGTCTTTAATTTGGAATTTCAAGTGAATTTCTGAGTGCAAATATTAGATGCACACAAATTAGCTAATTAAATATTCATCGCATCAACATATTGCCGTATAAAAAATTTTTCTCATTGACAAAATGGTGCATCTATAATAATGGATAGAGTTAAATTGTTGCAAACAATTCACAACAAGAAATCCTAAGAAAATTAAAAATCGGTCAAGGACAAATTTTTAAATACAATTTGATCTATCATCAAATTGATGATGACAAAATTAGCGAAAGAATATAATTTGGGCAGTAACAAATTGGTGAAAACAAGTTGGCGTGTAACGACAAATTCATGAAGACAGTTCTATCAGCTACAATTTTTGAAGAAAGACAATTCAAATTATTGGGGAACTCTCTATGGGCAGCGCTGATAAAGAAAATTCGACGGTGTGTCAAATTTATGAAAATAATTCGGCGCCACGACAACTTGGTTAAGACAATTCGGACAAAGACAAACTGATGAAGAAAATTCAGCGTAGTGACAAATTAAGGAAAGCAATTTAGAACAGCTACAAATTGGTGATGGCAATTCCGCGCAACGACAAATTGGTGAAGACTATTCGGCTTAGCGATAAATTTGAGTAAATAACAAATTGGTAAATAAAATTTGGGGCATCACCAAATTGAACGAAGATGGGGCAGTGAAAAATTGGTGAAGTGAAGACAATCACGAATAGTTGGTAGAGACAATCAGGCGTTGTGATAAAATTGATGAAGCAAATTCGATACAGGGACTAATTGGTGATAGACAATTTTGTCTGATTGCAAATTGATAAAGACTATTGGCGCGGTGACATATCGATGAAGAAAATTCGGCGCAGTGACAAATTGATAAAATGAAGATACTTTGGCGATGCGTGAACACTATTTGGCATAGATATAAATTGGTGAAAACAACAAATTGGTAAAAAAAAACTTTTGGGTCCAAATAAATAAAGAAATTTGGAGCGGTGATAGATTTTAAAAACAATTCGCGCAGAGAGCTAAATTGGTGAAGAAAACAAGACGCAGCGACAAATTAATTAAGACAATTCAGCGCCGTGACAGATTGATGAAGACACAGTCACGCCAAATTGGTTAAGAAAATTGTGTAGTGACAAATTGGTGAAAACACAACAAACTAGTGAAGACAATTCAGTGCCATAATAAATTTTCTAAGATAATTCGACGCAGCGAGTGTAGACAATTCTAGGCCATTTAATGAGGTGATAAATTGGTATTCGGTAGATACAAATTGTTCGAGATAATTCAACGCAGTGACAAATTTGAAGGGGCAATTCGATGAAGACAATTAGGCTCAGCAATTAAGCGCTCAAAAAACTGGTGAAGACATTTCAATGCCTGACAAATTGGTCAGGACAATTATAAGCAGCGACAAATTGGTGTAGATAAATCAAGACCAGGGGATTAAATAGATATTTGATAGCTACAAATTGATTAAGACAATTCAGCTCAGTGACAAATTTATGAAGGGGCAATGGCGCAGAGATATATTGGCGACGGTACAGCGACTAATCGGCGAAAATAATTCAGCCGACAAATTTGATAAGAAAAAAGAAATCAGCGACCAATTAGTGAAGACAATTTGGCTCAGCAATTAAGTGCCGTGACAAACTAGTCAAAACAATTTAGTACAGTGATATTGGTCAAGATAATTCGACGCAGCAACAAATTTGTGTAGATAATTCAAGGCCATTCAGGTTATAAATTGGTATCCGTAAGCTATAAATTGATAAAGACAATTCAGAAGGAGCAATTCGGCGCATGGACAAATTTAAGTAATTTGGCGCAGCGACAAATTGGTGAAGGCAATTCGCCATAGTGACAAATTGGTAAAGACTATACGGCACAGCGACAAATTGATAAAGGCGATTCGCCATAGCGACAAATTGGTAAAGGCAATTCGTCACAGCATCAAATTGAAATATTTCTGGGCAGAAATTGGTAGACAATTCGACTCAGCGACAATTCGAAGCAATCAGCGAAGTGATAAATTAGTAAAGGCAATTCGGCGCAGCGACAAAGTTGTGAATACAATACATATGTTGATTGTTTTAAAAGCGTTGATAATTCAAAATTAATGATTATATGGTTTATTCGCCTAACAGAACTTTTTTCAAAATAATTCAATATTTAGGAATTTTTTAAAAAGCTAAAATTTACTATCGAGCCATTCGTATCCCTTATGGTTATTAATAAAAAGAAAATTGGTAAATTGTTATGATTGAGAGATCAGAAGAAGAAAATCTAGGAAAGGGTAATTATTGAAGTCCCAATTTTTTTTGGAGGAAGCTTGTTGGACGAAATATGTTGTGTAATATATTATTGTCTCATGTATTAGAGGCTTCAGGAGATTTAGGGCTGGTAGATTCTTAATTGGTTTATTAACTTATCGAAAGAAAGTTACGAAAAAAAAATGAAAACTATTAGTAATAAAGTATTAGGGGATCAGATTCCGATGCCCCCGGAAGAGATACTTTTATTTCATGACATGGGGGAACGATATTATAAAACGATTATAAAAAGGTCATATAAAAAATTTTTTATAAAAATATAAATTAGATTCTAATAGCCACGATACGTGTATATTGAAATAGGTGTCCTATTAGTTATATCATTTATCTCAATAATCCAATGACATATATAATACCTAGACTGACG